TGGAGTTCATACATAAGAGTTGCAGTACCGTCGGCTACCCGGCCGAACGTTTTTTTCCAACTACCCTCTCTCCCATCTCATTGCCACAAACTCTGCCCATCTCATTATTCCTTTTCTTCCTATCCGAGGTTTATTCTCCATCTGACTTCCCTCTTTTATTTACTTTTGATGATAAGCCTATTCGGTTCCCGGGAAAGTTTTAAGTAATTGAGAGACTAGGGCACAAACTTTTTTGTCTTCTTTTAAAATATATGGATGGATCCGTAAAGGGAATCGGTATTCGATTACCAGTACGAGAAATTCTTTTGTTCTTTTATATTTTGCTAAGCCGTCGGAGATTAAAGCCTTTTTGGATTAATTTATTAATCTTAGAAAGATTTCCTAATGTAATAGTACTGTTATTTACTTTGGTTTCAAATGGATTGTTTTCTTGGTTGGAAATGACAGAGAGGTTGAAGGAGAAACTAGAGGAGTTTTTCGGGTGCGAATATGAGCTATGCATCGAATTCACTGGCTTAATCAGGTTAATTTTTTGACTTCAAAGTTACCATTTGGTCCATTTCCTATCTAATCCTAATTTTTACATTAGTCTTGTATTAGAACATACTTTTATATGCTTGAGTTATCACCATCTGAATTAGTCAGAAATGGATCAATGAGTCGTTCGCTATATGCCATGTTCTTACGACGCATTACGAACATGATAATTGTTGTTAAACAGGTAAGAATTATCAGAAGTTGTGGTAGATAATATATCTTCTGATGGTCAGATAATTAATTTTTTATCCTTGTTTTATTAGCGGGATCTGAGAAGTTTGGTGGAGAAAGGTTGGAGTATATTGCTTAAACTGTTTGTAACTTTTGAATTTCTACTCCCAAGGAAATGGATAACATATCGGCAAAAGAAGATAAATTTTGTTTTTAAACTAGTTTTTTGGGTGGTCGTGCAGTTTGCTAGATAGCCTTGCTTATGAGCATAACAGAATTGTTCTACGATGAAAATATAAGAACCGCCCATTTTTGTTTTGTCTTTTCTTTTGTGCATAATGGGTATACACTCGACAATTAAATTGTGAATAAAATAATAAAAAAACCCCTGAAGTGATTTATGAATTTGTAATAGATGTGTAAAGGAAGGAAGAGTGTTAAACTTAAAGCTATTTAACACAAAAAGTGTGATTGATGATCATATAGCATTTTCTTCTCATATTGTCTTTTTCTGATAACCCAGCTTGAATCTCCATCAAAGTAAGAGAATACTGTACCATATATAGGGGGCTCTAATTTGCTGGTTTTGGATGTTGAAAGTGTCTTCTCTGCTTTTGTTTCTTCCCTCTTCCTGTTTTTTTTAGCCGGGGTGCATGTTGGGGGAAGAGGGGGGGGGGGATACCTTCCAAACAGACCTTCACTGCCTATTACTCCCTAATTTAACTCAGAAATTCAAACAATATAGAACAACTTTTTTTTCCTTGTCCATTACTTTTTATTCTCATATTATCCTATTGTTGCTTGTTTCTCTTTCCTGTCATCAGAGAGCCATACTATCTCATCATGTAGTTTCATTTTGATCTGTCACATGGAGAATATTGTGAGTTTCACTGATCATTCTTGATCTGAATTTTTTTTTGATATTGTGATGGACACTTGTTTTAGTCTTTTTTTTTTTATTCGTGCATGTCTGTACAGCTCTATTATTCGTAAATATGATGATATTCTCTAGTTTAAATCAGCTGGTGCAGAGGAGCAAGCATTGGCTGGCATAGTGATGACAACAGGCCCTATCTCAAACAACGGGACTTTGCGGTGCGTATGCAACTTGCAGTCACTGAGCTCATATGTATATTTATCATATGTCAGTGTGTATATCATGTATCTTGTGGCTAATTTTCACATAGCTATTCTTTTCTTTCCTCTCTTATGAAGAAATTCCCTCCCCTGGAGTTTTAACTGTTGAGTTATCTCTATTGCTTTGTCAGAACTTAAATTGCCTTACATAACACAGTTACTTCTATTGACCAAAGGCAGTCT